ATATGTATATTATATTTATTTATTTTTATTTATCTTTTTATTTATTTATTTATTTATCTGTCTATCTCGCTCTCCCTTTGCTTACATTTCAAACAGTTTTTAGAACTCCTAGAGTCTTGTTTTGGGAGTTGTTGGTTGTTTTTTGTTTGGGGGAGGGGTTGTTGGGATTTATTTTTGTTTGGTTAGTTCTTTCCTATTTGGCAAAGATAGGGTTTTTTTGTTTGTTTTTGGGTTTTTTTTGGGGGGTGTTACTGAAAGAAATCAGGCGAAGGGGTGTTATGTTTGTTTCTGTTCCCCCAATCTCCCTCCCATTCAGGGACTGACTGTCGTGTGTGTCTATTTTGTACGGGCTGTTAGAGACGTTTGAGCACACTAAGTCCAGCGTATGTCGCGCCTGCAGAGACGCTGACCTGAGGCTTCATTCACCCGTTGGGAAATCGGATGTCTGGCTCTTTGACTGAGATGCACGTCACTTCCTGTTTGATGAATGGGCTTTCGGTGGTTGTAGTACTCACAAGAGACGAGCGATTCTCAGATCTCAGGAGTATCGTTATGACCCGTCACGTGTCGCTCGTGCAGCATCGATACTGAAAGGTCCTACTTCTTCACTGTCGTTTACCCTTTTTTGTGTGTTTCTTTGTGGGTGGTTTGGTTTGGGGTTGGGGGGGGGGGCGCTTTTGGAAGGCCCAACTTCTTTCCTTTTTTTTTTTCTTTTTTTTTTGTCCTGTCTACCTGTCTTACTTTTCTCCTTGTTCTGTATGGCGGGTGGTTGGAGGGCGTCACTAGTAGTTCCTATTTCTCAACTCTTCCTCTGTTGTTTCTGTCCGTCTGTATTACTTTATCCCAGCACTGAATGACCATTACTGTGTCGATGTGTGTCTCTTAACTCAAACAAACAAACAAATGAATGGCCGTTATTGTATCGATCTGCTCCTCTTTACTGAAAAGGCTCAAGGTTTGGTTTCTGTCTCACTGTGTTGCCCACTTGCGATCCCGCAAATAATGAAATTTTTAAAAACATTTCCGGAAAAAAAATTATTAAATTATTAAATTCTTTTACACAAAGAAGCTACAAAAGAAAAAGGGCGGGGGAGGGGTTGAAAGTCTGTGACTAATCAACATCGAAGTGTCGGAACAGGGCTATTAATGATTATCACTAATGTAGATCGCTTCAAGTCACTGCAGTCTGCTCCGATACTGCCCACTTCG